TTTTTTTTTTTTTTTTTTTTTTTTTTATGTCAACACATGCAAACATATAAAACCCTAAGTTTTCTTTATAGTTTAAAAACATTTAAATTAAATTGCATCTTACCAGTCAATTCATTATAAATTATAAAATACATTTCCTCCATTATATATATATTTCATTGATATTATAGCTCTGCCTTTATCAAAATATATTGTTTATTTAAATATAAAAATAATGCAAGGATAGAGCACCAGACTTATTTCCTGTTGATCGAAACAGCGCTTGGGCTAACACTGGCCAATGTTTCTCTGGATTGGTCTTACCTCTCTTCGTTTTTCCTCCTCACGAAGTTTTGCTTGTCTCCATTCCATTTCCTCCATCATTTGTCGCTCCATTGCCCTTTTAGCTTCTTCTACCCTCCTTTGTACTTCAGCTTCTATTTCCTCTTTACGTTTTTCTAGTTCTTCTTCTACCCTCTTCTGCACTAGTTCTTCAATTCGCTTGGCAGCTTCTTCTTCAACCATTTTTTGTTCCACTTCACGTTGCCTTCTGTAAATACAGAAATATTTTGTTGTTCTAATGCTACAAAAGTAGCATACATGCTTCAAATACATAAGCATGCTATTTATTTTAATTATTTACAAAACATAAAATGTAATCATCTTATTTAATTAAAGAAAATGTATTTTATTTAATATTTTATAATAATAAAAATATATAATTTAGAATTAACATATATTTTATCAAATTCCAAAATGATATATATTAAAACATCAGGTACTTATATGTATACAGTATAAAATAATTCAACCACCACCATGAGATAGTTATACAATCTTACCCAACTGCACTAGCGGTGAAGGTTTTGTTCGATAATTCTTTCTTTTTCCTGACAACATAATTATAAATAAAAAAAAACGTATACCAATAGAAGCAAAACTAATTTTCTTTATTAATTAAAAAATAATTAAATGTGTTAAAATTTATATTGTTTTTGCTTTTCAAAAAAATAAAATATAAAGAATAATGTGAAGAAATATTTTTTTTAGGGATAAGTACCTTAATTCTATAATATCAAATGCACGAGGAAATAATAAAAACATTTTAATGTTTATCCTTTCTAATATTTGAATATTTTAATAAAAACTTAATAAAGAGATATTATAGATAAATATTGTTAATGAAAATACATTTAATTAATAAAAATCAAATAAAAAATAATTAAATTTATATTTATTATAATTACCTTTGCCGCTCCATTTCTGCCAGTCTTTCTACTTCATCCATTTTGCGATCTCTGTCTCTGTATGAACGTTTCTTATGACTGACTATATGTACATCATCTGAAGCATCTGATGAACTAGAAGATGCAGAATGGGATCGTTTCCTGCAAAAATAAATAAATTCTTTCAAATTCTATAACTGCAGAAAGAAATAATTGACGCGACAATTAAAAATCAATTGACTAATATTTATTAATAGAAATAACGCACTAAGATATATACAACAATAGGAGATACATAAATCTCCAATTAGATGTAATATATATCAATGAAAAAGATTTTTTTTATTGATTATATAGCAAAATGGCGGAAAATTCGATAGAATGAAACGATTCCAATATGCATATGTTCGATAATAAAATAAAATATATTACCTTGTTTTTGAACTACGTTCTTTTGGCTTGTCAGAATACTTGTTGTTCGAATGCTTCTCACGTGATTTTGAACGTTTTCTTGAATGCTTGCTCTTATGACGCCGCCTACTAGGAGATTTTGTCCTGGATCTGGAACGGCCCATTTCAACAAATTCTGTCTTTTGAAGAATTCACTTGTAAAACTAACGATATATTAAACACTAAGAATGTAAATGGACATAAAAATAACCGAACACTACGCGAACACTGTAATAAAATAATGAACCATCCACCGTTAATATGTACACCACACTACTGACTTACGCAGTTTTAGCGGCCATGTTTAGTATCGTCCAAGATGGCGCACAAGCTTGAAGTGTCTCTGTTTGTTATAGTCTTTTTTTTAAAAATTTTTGGTGAAGTTCAAGTATAATCCATAAAAAGTGTTTTTATTAGTTATTTTAATATCTCGTTTTCAATAATCATTTATTTTTCGATTTTATATTTTAATAAAATATTATATATTTTAAATTCTTACATTCAAATTTCACGGTAAGAATTCTTCTATCCATTTTCAACCAATCAAAACGCAATTGCAATATTATACAATATTTGCTATTTATAATTATTTTATAATATTAAAAGTACGTAAATATATATTTGTTTTCTATTTAAAAAAAAATTAGTATACGAATAATTATAAAATAATTATAAAAGAAGGAACAATATAGTATAAAATAATTAAATATATTAAAAAAGAAGATAGAAAAAGAGATAGATAGCATCGCGAAAATGATTAGCATCAGAAAATAGTTCAATAAAATAAGAGACAAATTTTGAAAGTTAATTGCGTCGTATGTGTTCCGAAAAACCGCGGTCTTCGTTGGCAATGGCACCCGTTCACAGCTGTGTCGGCGTCGCGCGCATCTCATTTGACTCGTTCCGCGACAGCAGAAATCAAGATGGCGCTCCTCTGTTTGCGGATTGTTCTGCGACGAATATAAATACGTGAAAAAAACAGTGCGAGAAACGGTTACAACGTATTGAACAGATTGTGAGGATTGGTATATGCGTATGATATAGTGACAATCGATTGGTAACGTGTCGCGATAACTGTAAAGCAAGGTAGCCGGGTAAGCCGCTGCGGTATTTCGAACATCGGCGAAGGTGCTGTCGGTGCCCACCTGAGGAATGCCAGATTATCCTCACTACGGTAACTCGCTCGGCAGGGGGATGCTAATCGCGTGACGGATCGCGTGCAAGTTGAAAGTGTTTCGTAGGTGATCCCCCGCAAAGGTGTACGGTCGTGTTTGTTCCGTGACGTATGTGTGTCGCGGAGGGCTGTAAGACAGGTCGGTCGCGAGTGTCGTCGTCGTCGTCACCGTCGTCGCCGTCGTCGCTATCGTCGTCGTGGTCGGCTTCGTGTTCGTGTTTAGTGTGCCGCGAGTGGCGTTTTTCGCGGCTTCGATGTGCTCTCGTCCTCCCTTGGATTTCTGGACAGGCGAAATCAGCTGCTGCTGGAACAACTAGTCCGGCGGCTCTGGAAGACGATCCTCTTCTACAGGAGCGGTGGGGCAAGGAGGTGCCGGAAGCAGCCGCGAGTCCGGAAGCATAACGAAGAAGATGGCCTTCAACGAGGTAAGTTTCATTGCTGCATGCCTCTATATCTTTCTATCTTGCTATCCCGTTCGGTCGTTCGATCCCGTGAGCTGACCTCGCGACCCCCAAACGCCAATTCTAACCTAACCTCCGTTCCTGCGCACAGCTGGCATGTTATCAACTCTCCCCTCTCCCTGCATCTCTTCATTCTCATCCTTTCTTTCTCTGTTTCTCCTTTCGTTTCTCTCGAGTCACCGTGTTCTTTTGTGTGCAGTTAGACGATCATGAAATCAAAATCGGAACGATCCGGTTATTCTTTAATAACATCAAGCTATACGTTTTTTAAATTCGTATTGCACGGTATACATTTCGAACGATATTGTACTATCATCTTTAGGTTATGATACGTGCGAAATATTTATCAAGGATTTTGCGTTCTTGAATAACAATATTCGTTTGTAATTTATAATAGTATTAATGTTTTCTTTTAATGAAATTCGTTCACCTTGAAAATCTTTTAAAAATATTTAATGAAAATTCATCGCAATATTGTTTATACTCTTTGAACATTGGTAATCAGAATTAATATTTGTATAATATTTATCATTATATTATGCAAAGAAATCACTTCGCGAAAGAAAACATTTTTACTATGGTTTGGTAAACAAATACAATATAGTGTAGTAATGCGAGAAAGAGATGAAATTTCGTGCTTACGTGTCCACTGCGACTATCACCGATTGTCTGCCTCGGTAACGTTTCTCTGTGACATTATTGCGTAACCATATCCCATAAAGAAACACGGGTATAGTGTTTCCACGGCAGAGAAGAAAAATAAAAAGCGTTTCAGTGTACTACCTGATTCATGCGTAAGATGATACATTAGAATGGTGCACGTTTCTGAACTTCTCTAGGATCGTTAAAAATCGTTACATCGTTAAAAAAATTATGTCGTAAATGGATAGGACGTAATAAAAATACGTATGATAAATAGAGTGTTATCTATATGATAGTACGTGGAATGATTTGAACCTCAACATTACATTTCCTTGGCTTTTTATCATCGTTGATGACGTGTAATCATGATTGAAATTATGTATATGCCTTTTATCCTATATGTTCCTATTTATTTTTGCTGACCATTCAGCGAACAAAAAGAGCGCTGACCAGTAATTAATATACCGAGATCGCATGTCATCGATAGATAGTCATATCGTGCCATACGAAACATAGAAAATATGTATTGTAATTGTACGCGTGATTAATGATTTTTTTTTTTTTTTTTTGTTCAATTGCATTAATTGTCGCAGTTTCCGTATTACGAAAATATTAATACGATATTTATCTCATAAGTTTGAGCAAAAATTATCACTGAATAATTAGTATTGATTTTCATTGTAATCATTTACATATAAAAAAAAATATGTAAAATAGATATTTAGGTACTATGGATCGATAATTCTAACGTTAAACGGAGTTGATCTTTAGCATTTATTGTTAGTAGCATCTTTTGACGTAATAAGTGGGAAGAACAGCGTTTATATACTTTGCCTCAGGCATTAATACCTGTGACTGTATCGCTTTGCGTGTGTACGCTTTCGCATACATGTGAAAGCTTATGCGTAGATCATTCATCCGTTCCACGTGCGCAATTTAAACGAGAAATTAATGAAAGAACGCATCACCGTTTGTCATTAATCTTTATATGCTACGATTATTTATTACGATTTTTTATCATTCATCTCGCAATCTTTATTTTCATATTGTAATTTGCATTACTTTGTCAAAAAAAAAAATTTATTTTCGGTATTATTTCGATTACGTCTATACATTTAAGAAATTCGCGGTCGCGTTATTGAAAAAATTAAATAAAATCTTCATACTTTTGATCGATCGTTCAAAAGGTGCATCAATCAAAAGGTGTAAAAGTCAAGTTGTACAAAAAAAAGAGATAAAAATGACAACCCTTAAAACTATGGCATAGCACCTGCTACCCGGTCATATCGATCGAAATGGAATATATACAAGTAACCAAAGTGGGATTCCATCGTTGTTCTCCCTTCCACAGCACCCACTCGTTCGTTCACGATCATATGGCTTCTTTCTCCATAGATAATGTGTCTACCTTTTCAATCTTTATTTTCCAGTCCTCTTAAACCTCCAAATATCTCGTCACACCTTTTTAATTCCCGGGTTATTTTCTCACCAAAAGATCGTCGAACAAAATTTTTGAAGCCATTCGAACAAGTCGCGGTGAAAGTAAAGATTGTGGACTTTCAAAACAAGCTACCCGAAGTTTTTAATATTCCTATATCGATAATATACTCGTTAGTCAAAAGTCGAAAGTTGGTTCTCACGGAAAGTTGGAAATAAAAATCATTTGCTAACGATTTAACATTACGAAAACAAGAAACCCGTTGCTCGTACACCAATAGCATCTATGCATACGATTTAGATTTAGACGCATACAGTTGGCCTGTTATCGACGTGGTTATTCTTATCGTATTCCGGAAAGCCTAGCTCGCACCTCGGATCGTCGAAACGCGTATAAATATACGTGCAAACATTCGTAGCACACGGTATACGTGCATAGTTATGCACGTGTGTTGCAAACTTTATCGGCGCAGCAATTTTAGAGATATATGCCTATATCTGTGCCACACGTTTGTATACGACTATACTACCGTTATTACGTAGACAGTAAAAAAAAACGATGAAGTTTCGTTCTTTTTTTCTTCATTCGTCGGCCGTATAAGAAATCAGAGGCGTGGGCGGAAAGCAGGTTACACCGAAGATTCTTCGCATTTGATACCGGGCATTGATCGAAGAGATCTATCTCGAGGAATCTTATATTATTATATTTAAACGTGTTATCGCGTCAAGATCGCGAGACTCGTGAGAACCGTATAGCGAGCGTATAGCGTTTTTTAATTAACATCGATTCGTGGATGTCAAGGATAATACGGGATAAAAGTAATTTGCCGCGTGAACGTTGACACGAGTTTCGTGGAAAATGCGAGAGGGTTTGTCGCATCACGCGAATATACCCGCGAAATTAATTTCTATAATAGAGTTATCAACATCGGCGAAGATAGTCGTTACTATCGCTTACGTTACACAATAGACATTGTTTGATCGTGGCCTCGATGCAACGTATCTGTTCCTTGGTCGCCCCACGAGGGGGATATAAAATATACGCGCGTACCAGACAAATGCGTGCTAGATCCACCGATGTTTCGACCGAATCCGTGGGCGAGCATCATAGACAACGAAGAATTGAACTATGGAAATTGACAAAGGCGAGTACATCCGTGATTAAGGCTCTCGTCGACGCGGACAATGCGCCATTGTGCTCCATTTCCAGGTGTAATATCTACTTCCCGGTAAATTAAAATCTGTCGGCCCTCGTTTCTACGGAACACGGCCGTTTACGCAATTCCTTGTACGGTCGTGATGGGACACGATGAGAAACGTTGGCTGGATCGGGATCGAACGAGAGATATCGGGACAAGGGAAAGGGATCTAGGATAGCGCGATCGGTACATACAGCACGGAGGATATATAAGGATTGAAAGTCGCGACGAAAAATGCGATTCACGTTATAAAATTGAAATTTATTGCCGTTCGCCGCTCGCTGCCTTTGTGAATCTAAATCGTTGCTTCGTGACCACTGTCGTAAATGTAAAAAGAGGCGCGATGGGATACGGGAGTTTGTACGGGTTTACAACACGTCCCTCTGTACAACTTCGCCCGTGGTGCTTGGCCGTTTTCCATTTTATTTTCGATAAAATATGCGCGGTGAAAAAGGAACAGGGGCGTCGCGCGAGTACGCATTCGAAAAACGGCGTTAAAAATTGGCACCATTGCCAAACCGAGACCGATCGTAATCGCTGAATAATGGCGATCCGCATTATTTTATCCGCCCGATGAAACATCAGAGAATCGCGCGGCTAACATTTATTCCGTGTATAACATTCACACGATCCGTGAAATCATTATTTCTGTGATATAATAATTTATAAAGTAAAGGGGGGGAGGGGGCCGAGAATATAGCATTGCAGGCGACACGGAGTTTATTCCGCCCTACAACAAGTGTTGCCATAATTCCCATTCCGCGTGGGTAACCTCGTTCGAGACACAACGGTGCTTTAATTATCCGTTTTCTGGCCGCGATGTACGACGTATATAAACACAAATCATACTCGAGAATCTCCTTCCTCTCTTTCCTCTCTTTTTCCCCTCCGTTTATGAAAGCTCGGTGATTTCGTGGCGTGCAGAGGGCAAGGTGCATCTCGACCGTGCTCCCCCAGGTATCGTATTTTCCATAAAACTTTCGGATTGGAACAAGGCGCGCGGGAATTAATCGTGGCGGCGCATTCGGTGGGTTTCGTTCGCCCGTAAACGTCAGCACCGTGTTGCCCCTCGTAAACCGAGTAATAGCTTCGTGCTCGTCCACCCCCTCCACGTACACGCGTCTGCCCGTGTATGCGCGCACTCCGCATCCCCGTGTACGTGTATTTACACGCGTGCAACACCCCCGAGCGGGTCGGCTTGTTATACCGGTGCATTTATACGTATATCCGGGTGCATGTTCGCGTATCGCATAGGTGATAACGGTGCGTGGAGTCGGTGTGCTCGAAACAGACGGTGTACAGGGTGTTTCGTAGGGTGTTCCGTAATTTTTAGCCGGAAAGGTGTAATTGGTCCGAGAGATGATGGAACAAAGCGCGGATATTTGCCATCTGGAAACGACATGGTCTTCTTCTAGATCAGAGAGACAATTCCTACCCTTCTCTTCCATACTTCCGAAATTGTTAAGGTTCCCCTCCTTGAAAACTATGGGGAACTTGGTAACGCGCTCTTGGCGAAGTTTTGTCGTAAACAGAATTCGCGTGCAACTCGGTTGACGAGTATTTTCGCAAGTATACACCCGGTAAAACTCTTAACACACGGTATACACACGGCTGCTGCATTGCTACTTTTAAGAACACGCGGTACGTACGTGCATTGGAGCGTATTGGTGTATCGCATATGCAAGA